ATAGAAAAATATAATGTATTTTATATTATAAAAATTAGATTTAGTTCAAAGTAAAACACTCTAGATTTTTGTATACCTCTTATAAGTTATAACATCTGGAAAATCGCAAAATTTATGCATCCATTCAATAGATTCAATTGAATCTCTCTCTCTCTCCGTGTATTAGACCAAATGCATTGAGAATTAATATAAATTAAATTAAAAATCTCAAAACTATTTACTTGTTGTCCCCATTATATCTACACATGAAATAACACAATAAATACCGCATTAAATAACGGACATAAATATACTTATGTGTGATTTTATTTGTTTTTCAATCGCTATTACAAAGCATACAAATTATATTAACAGCGAAATAACAATAGGAATTTAATTTGTTTAAAAATATTATAATTTATCAACAAATTTAAATATAAATTACACGCAAAAAATAGCACAACATTTTAATCGTAAATTTTATTTTTATTAACATTTGCCTAAATTATCTCAACTCTGGACCGAAACCAAACCACAGACCGATGCGGTTATGAAGGGTCTGATCACCGATTTGTCGTATTCAGTGGATCCGTACTATACGGACGATATCAAGAACTATCTGATGAGAAAAAAGGGAGACCTCTTCGGCTCGGATCTGATCTCGAGGAATATAAACCGTGGCAGAGATCACGGCATTGCTTCATATGTTAATTATCTTAACTTTTGTTTCGGTTTTGAAGTGAGTTTTTTCAAACATTTTTTTCTACACAATAACTAAATTACAATAACAACTAAAACAACAACAAAAATATATACAAATAATTATTATTACGCTAACTATTTATGATATGTATTATTATTACATAACATAAACCTATCAGTACCTAATCATACGATCGCTTATTAAAACTAAAAAAAAACTAAATAATCTCATTGTTATTAATGAGGGAATTATTATTGCATTGAAAATTTTCAAAGTTATTTAGGAAATGAAGACAAAAAACAGTATAACATAGAAAATTCATACCGAAACTCGAGCCACGAGTTAAATCATGTTTGATATAACATAATAATTACCTGATTTTGTGAAATACAAACTATAGGTGCGCTCATGGGATGACTTGAAGCTCTTTATACCCGAGCATTACGTGAATCTGTTTCGACAGTTGTATAAGTAAGTCACGAATTTCACTCATTTTTTACTTATTTTATGTTATATTTTATAATACTATTACAAAATTATAACCAGATTTGTATATAATATGGTTAACTTAAATATGATATATTGTATAAGTGATATATTATTGTTTTGTACTTCAAAACACAATAATTATACATTAGTTTCGGTGAATTAAATCTCTCGCCAATCGATATCTTACACAATAGGGTTATCCGTCGAGTAATTAAATTATAAACTAATTTTTATTTTATATAAAAAATTGAATTTAATTGAATGTATTGTTTTGGTGTTGAGGTCGTGGGCAGACATCGACTTATACATCGCTGGAATCGCTGAAAAGCATTACGTGGACGCGGATGTCGGGCCCACCTTTGCCTGCATACTAGGCATACAGTACTATCACATTAAGTTTGGCGACCGGTATTACTACGAGCACGGCAATCAAGCTGGGTCATTTAATTTAGGTACACATATGTGACATAACACACTTATATATAATTGTATAATTGCTAAACACTTAACTATTAGTGTGTAATTAACCGTACGATTGCGTTAATTAATCCACATTTGTTTTTGCCCACCCGATCGACAGCCCAATTGAATAACATCCGAAAGGGCACAACACTGGCCCGACTGGTGTGTCTCACCTCCGACCAGATCCCTGCAGTCCAACCGCACGCATTTTTCCCGGTCTCCCAATATAACCGACCCCTCAATTGCAAGAGTTATCCAGATTTTGACTACTCTTTGTGGAGGGAGGCGCCCAATCAAAGGCACTAGGTGATCATTTGCACACACATATATTAACATGATGATTTACATATTTAGAATTACATATACAAATTTATTCGTGTAATCCATGAGATTTAAATGGTTTTTCTTTGATTTTCAGATCTGAAATAAAAACTATTCAAACAAATGGTAAAGTTTTTATCATTTGTTTTGATTTTTTCAACACAAATAAAAAGGATTTAATACTCATTTCTTTAAGATTTTGTCTGATTATAAATATAGTGGTAATAAATTTTGTGATTAGAAATCATTATAGTTTTAATTATTATTATTATTGCTATTTATTTACGTGATTACTAAATATGGTTTCCATTTGATAAAAACAAAAATTAATTTATTTTAATGATTTGGGTTTATATAAATTTATTAAAAGTTATACAAGTTAGAAGTTTTAATTAGTTTTAATTTAAAGATTAAGTTTTAAATTTCAAATTTTTATATTAGACTTTTAAATGAAATTTAATGCCAAAGTAAAGTTTATATGTAATTGTAATAATAGGTAATTGAACCTTAAGGAGATATAAAAAGTCATTTACCACGGGTTCTTTAAACATGGTTAATCTCGTGGTATTTGATTGCCACCCATAATACACTTAATCTATACTAAATTTAAATAAATTGTTTATAAAATAGCAGTGAAAGGTAAAACACAATATGATTATCAAATATAGATTATCACTGAATTCACTGTCAAACATGTTTGTCATGGATTTATATTACAGTATACCCAATAGTTAAGGTGCTTAACAGCCAACTTGTATTTCAATTGAAACAATGTCAAAATTCAAATACATATTGGTTTCACAGGTATATTACAGATACGGTATATATGGGTGTTATTAATAGGCATTAAAAGTGTTGCATTTGTTGGGGCTTTTGATTTGATAAACAGATTATTTTTTAAAAATCACTCATTGTTTGGTTGTTTTGGGAAAATATTTAGCAAATGGTTTGTGTTTTGACAATCATTTCCATAAATACTTGATCTCCAAAACAAACAACTGATAACAAGAGTTAAACAACGAGTGAATAAAAAACAAGTTTTCTCATCTCATTTCTTATCTCATTTGTCTCGACAATCACTTTATGATCTAATTATTGAAATGAGTTTATGTTTTATCAAACGGAATAAATAACACTGTATTTAATCGCTTCAAATAATACATTTGCCTTTGAAAACATGTATTTATGTAAATATGATTTATGTTTATGTATTGACAGAGATTTCAAACTTTGATTTTTATCGAGAGAGAGAGAGAGAGAGAGAGAGAGAGAGAAAGAGAGAGACTTATTTCCCAATACAAAATAATTATAAAAATTAATTTTTAAAACAAATTTGCTGAAAAAATAATGTTAATTATGTCCGCAATTAGATTGAGATTAAGTTCAAACAACTCTTTATAATATATTATTTATAAACAATATTTCATTTTATGCAAAAAATGGTTGAATTAAAAGTGGATTACATTTTGCTGAACAGAAATCACAAATTGCTTTATCACTGGTTTATATTATATTTTTTGATATTTGAATACAATTATTATTTAATGCATTTTATTTAGAGATTTATTTTCTTGGTTTAGATTTTTGTCTACTATTATGTTTACTTAATTCAAGTTATGGTTTACAACAAACATAATAACAATAATAAAAAATATTACTATAAATTATAGTTAATTTTTTATGTGTATTTTATTTAATTCAATAGTTATATAGATTAGTATATCGTTTATTTGATTGAAATGTTTTTTTAACAAAACTAATGATGATTTGAAATAAATTATCTCTAATACTTGGAAAGTAAGCAAAATTTAGCATTTATTTCGTTCAAATCATTACAAGTATTGTGTAATCGTATCGATAATAATAAAATTAAAATCATTGCACAAATAATATATGGTATATGTATTGAAAGTCTTCATTACTATCTATTTTTCACGTCATTTAAACATTTCATTTCTTCTCAAATGAGTGCAGAAAATGTCAAACAAATGTTTTTCCACACGAAGAAGAATAATTGAAAACTTATATATAATTTATTATATGTTAAGAATAGATTAAAATCAAAACCTATTTTAGATCAAAATCGGTAAACAGATAGTGATCTCTCTCTCTCTCTCTCTCTCTCTCTCTGTTGTGAGCATTACATAAGAGTCTTGACTTGAATTTTATTG